TTCTTTACAGCGGTGAGGAGATCTTCAAAAGGCTCTATGGTATGCCTGATTTTGTCCCTCACTTCCTCATTTGTAACATGATCTCTGTAGGAGATGCCTAGCAGTCTTCGAAAGCATCTCGTTTCTGTAGCTTGTATATTTCTCTCCAACTCTACTGTAAGGGTCCACATCTCAAAAGAGTACAGGAAAATTGAAATGACCACAGAATGCACCAGTCTGATTTTGGATCTGAGTGCAATGTTCTTGTCTTTCCATATTATTGCCTTGGGCCTCGACAATGTACCAATTGTTTAGGAAATCCTGGACACTATTGTTTTGTTTTGTCCTTCATCCGTCACCACTGAACCTAAGTATTTAAGCTCTGAACAGTCTAGTTTTTTGCCATCAATTCTAATGTCTTAGCTGATTCCCTTGATGCTGGTGGTCATCAGCTTCGTCTTTTTTAGACTGATGTCAATGCCTTGATAATGCCTTGTCAAGATGGTTGACTAGCTTGACAAGCTCTTCTTCTTTCCCTGCAAAGGCATCAGTGTTATCAGCCAAACGTAAGTTTATAACTACTGTTCTGCCACCAATGGTAGCCAATCCGTTATGGTCTTCAGCCATCAGTCATGATTCTCTCAAGGGAGATGTTAAAAAGAGTAGGTGAAAGCAGACATCCTTGTCTGTCTCCCAACTGTTGTCCTGAAGCATTCTCCTACATTGCCATTGTAGTATGCTACACTGGTGGCTCTGCTGTAGAGGCCCTCTGTGAGTGTAATCAAGTTGACTTTGTTGATGTTAAATAGGAGGTAGCAACAACGAAACCCTAGATTTTTTTTTTAAAAGAACTTTTTCCAGGTTCCTGCAAACAGGATCGGGCTGCAGCTCCGAATTTATTTCTTATCTTTTACAAGTCATATTTTATCCAAGAGAAGTAGAAAGGATCCAGCATCTTCTGTTAACAAATAAGGAAAAACGACCTCGAGGAAGCCTGCTTGCTCTTTGCGTACGTTAGACATATTAGTCGTTGAAAACTACTAGTACTAGGTCTGTAGGGCCACAGAAGCAATATACTTTCCTCAATACAGAAGAAATTGGTTGGTTTAATCCAGGCCGACAATTAAACGGGATAAGAGACCTGAAAACCGATGGACTTTGCATTTATTGGGAAAAAAGCGGCGTTTGATGCATCCTTGGAATGGACACAAACCGTTTCATCGTGCGATGAAGAAGCTGCAGTTGGGTAAACACTAGAACAAGGAAAGAAGGGATGCAGGCCTACATTTTACAGTGATCTGGCCAGATAAGGAAGATTATGACTGAGTAAGTGGGTAAAATTCCTACACTTTTGGTATGTTATTTTGAAACCATTACTAAAAATGTACTCTTTTTATTCCAACGAATGATACGGTTATAGAAGAAAGGGGTGAATGTATTTTTATTTCTCTTAGTTATGGGGTTGGTTTTTGTTGTTGTTTTGTTATGTTTGGTTGGGGGGGGGGGATGCCGCCTCTAAAGGAGCATTCTTGCTCGTCCATTCATGTCCTAACACATTTGAGCAGAATAATATGCTTGGAGGGCACCATTGGTAAGTCCTACTTTTTTTTCCTTTCCGTGTATTGCATCTGTCTGTCTTGATCTTTCTTTGCTCCAAATGAAAGCCACTGTCATTGCGTCGAAAATGGTTATCTTTACCCAAAAATTTAAATCTTTTTGGTGTTAATTTTGTTACCTTCAAAAGAAACTAATGATCTTGCGGTTGCGTACCCACGATATCATATTTGCATCACAAAATGAACAAAGCTAGTATAATAATACTTAAAGCGAATGTTCTAGAGCGTTCGCCTTGATTGAAACGAACAACAGGTAACAGGGAGATCAAGTTTGCAAGTAATTGCTTATATGACCTCTTGATCGCTTCCTGTGACCCTTGCTATTGCTCACACTGCAGTTCACCGGCGTCAGGTTTCGTATATAAAGATGCACGTGCCCACAGACTACCTCTCCACACAGTGGTCTGCCTTCGAGGAGCTGAACGTGGGTGTTTTATGTGATTTACTTTTGAAAGTGTTTATTGTTTGGTCGCTCTGTGGTTTCTATCTTGCTCCATGAATTCGTTGGATATGCTTTATTTTTAAAAAATGTTTTCCCCCCTAATGGTTCTTAATAATGTTAAACGACTCTCATTATTAGCCAACTCTCTTGTGGTGTTATTTCTATAAAGATTCGAAAACCAATTGAAACAGACGTTCAGTTTTTACCAGCACCTAAGTATTTATTATAGCCTGCTTTCGAACAACCTATATTCTTTTAAAAGAATTCTTTGTAAGCAAGCTCCTCAACATTCCCTTCCCTGCACGAATTCACACTTGTTTTGGCCACCCCCCTCCCTGTAACTCCTATGTCCCCCCTTTCGAAACACCCTTTCTTTCCAGACTACCACTTTTCCCGTTCTAAACATAATAATAGTATGTTGATATGTACTTCCATGAAATAGATTCGCTAAAACCGCGAGAATAAGAAATCAGGGTTACTAACTTATTCCTCCTTCCTCCCGCGTTCTGTCTTGCCTGTAATGATTGCAAAATCATCTTTTATTAAGAACGGGTATTATTATGAACGGAAGTCTTGACCTATTGTTTTGACAAGACAGAAGAAAAATCACATATATGTGTGAATGAGGGTGTGTGAGCGTGCGTGTGTGTATGCGTGTGTGCGTGCGTGCAGTGCTTGTGTGCGTGCGTGCGTGCATGCTCCTTTGCATGTTTAACATGCTTTTCTTTAATTATTGATAAATAAGGCAAACTGTACCGACATTTAAAAAAGAGTTCAGTCTTCAAAAATGTAAATGAAGTGAACGTAAAAAATCAATCAAAATACGCTCGTATCTCTCGACAAACATAAAATCCAATATGTTATGAAAATCTCTATAATATTGGGAAACAGTTGAATGGGTTATAGCAGTCCCTTTTATTGGGATAAACATTGAATAGGTTAAAACATTGTATGGATTTGCAGCCTTTTTTATTTCTGAAAAAAAAATGACATAAAAAAAACTGTGACAGAGGTGACATGCTACCATGGTATTGTACAGATTCTAGTTGGGGGTTTTTTTCAGAACTTTTATTTCAGGAAGTTATGTGGTCTTAGTATTTTCAAAGATATAAGATTAATGATGTATACTTACTGCAAAAGCGAGCAGAAAGTTATCTAATGATGAGGCGTTGATCTGAGTATTGCTCAAGAACACGAGGCATGACATTCAGTATCTCTTGCAGCCTCTTATAGTGCGGTCAAAAATTCGTGGCCCAACTTATCTTCAAATATCTTTTTAACGGCAGAATCAATGTCACCCATACTTTGCACAGCAGTTTGTCTCAATTTATCTTAACTAATCATATTTGTTCACAACAATTTTGGCTAGATTTAAAGACTTTACTTCATAAATGTATATAAAATACTAGAAACCTCCTTCACGAGGAAAATAAAATTATTATTGTTCACAGCACTTCCCGCTCCTCACACCCATTTTGCGTACGCAAATGGGTTACATCACAGCTCACCAATGACACTTTTTTAGTGGCAAAACTGGTTTCCAAGAAATTAATTTGGTAGTGAACACTTTTTTGCACAAAAATTTCTCAAAGCATGCGCTCAATAAAGAAAATCTCGCCATTAGAAAAAAAGTGACGGACTTACTTTTAAAAGTGATATCGTCCCAGCTGTAAACTTTTTAAAATCAGTAGAAAACATCCACTAGGATTTTTTATTAGTATTTATTAAGGAATTTTCTAAAATAGAGCTAACAGGTGTTTACAAAAATATCGATCTGTTAAGACAAATTTATAAAAGTCACAGTGGCTGGAGAGTTTATGTTCGATAGTTGAGGAGATATTTAACAATAAGTCGCGCAACGAATTTTTGACCGCACTTTTGACCTGTTGAAAATCACGTTTCGTGTTGGGGTTTTGATGGATACTTTTGTGTGCTCTTCTCTTTTTTCTTCTTTTCAACGCTACAATCGTAATCAGTTCCAGGCCATATGTGTCCGTCATCATACTAACTCGCTCGATATCCTCTGGTGTAAATGCTCTTTAGTTCCTTTTATTTTTGTCTTTTTCTTTTATTTCACTGTCGTTGGTGTCCCAGTGTCTTGGCTGGCGGCTTCATATCCCCATCTGGTAACAGTGTCTAGATCCTACACCCAAAAAAACCCCCCAACAACCTATGGTCTAAACTCATATTCAAGAGAGAAAAAACATAAATGAAAAAAACTTGTTGAAAATAAAGTTTTACTTCTTCTTCCTCTTAACTTTTCTGGCAGTTGGACGTTGCTTCTGGGATTTTTCTGCAATGAAACATTCTATCTCTTGCTATTCTGGCTCTCTGACAGATGTGGACCAAACTAGTTTCAAAATAAAGCTATTGTTTGTAAAATATCTGAACAGAACGTTTGTTCCTGGTACTGTTCTTTAAAAAAAAATTGTATATATCAGAAACCAAAGCAAAACTTCACGATCACCCTGTATGCGTATAATATGTGACGCCACGTCTCGGTCCGATCTCATCCACACAGGTCCCCCTTATTCACCTGTGCCCGCCATGTTTCTGAGTATCGGACTGTCCGGAATGGTGTTGACCACCCTAGTGGTGGCGACGCTCACCTTCCTGGCCACCTACTTCATGGTGTTCGTCCGCAGGGACGGCGTCAGGAGCCCGCCATATCCGATCATCCCCCTCCCTTTTGTGGGACACTTGCTGCGGCTGGACCCAGACCCCCGCGCTCAGTTCCGTCAGTGGAGGAAACTCTATGGGGATGTGTTCAGGTGGGTTGTCAAACCAACTCTATGGGGATGTGTTCATGTGGGTTGTCGAACCAACTCTATGGGGATGTGTTCATGTGGGTTGTCGAACAAACTCTATGGGGATGTGTTCAGGTGGGTTGTCGAACAAACTCTATGGGGATGTGTTCAGGTGGGTTGCCTAACGAACTCCATTCTTCCTTTGCTGTTTTTTTTCCTCTCAAACGCATTCACACAGTGGTATATATAAAAGTTGTTGGAGTCTCCGAATTTAAGTTATATGTTCATGGGAGTCTTCAGTCAATGTTATTTTTTTCTGTTGTTTCAGACGGCATATAATTTATATTATAATTCTAGGTTACTATCGAAAATTTAAAACTTCCGAAATAACTTCTAGGAGCAGTTTAGGCAGCTTTAAATTCTTCAAAGTGCCTTAACTCTTTTTCCTCTCTGCGGTTCCCTTCTAGATTTCAGGAGTAGTCGTCTGTGGTTCTTCAGCCTGCCATGCAACTGTATTTTTTTTTACGTATGTGACCGTTTTTTTCTTCTTTGTAAGGCCCCTTGCCTTCAAGCAGCCACATTCCGATTTGGAAAGGTAGAGCCGTAGCTGAAAGGCGCTCATTGTAAAACTTGATCACGGGTGTTTGGCATTTTATCCAAGACGTTTGAGGTTTCCCTTTGTGAACCAGGCCTGTCTAACCAAAGTGCCGTGCTTAATTGGGTTCAGTAGGCTTTGTGGGTGGATAAATATGAGTGTTTATTTTTCAAACTTTTCACAACTCTAATGATTTTTAGGTAGAGAGAGGAAAAAATCGTATTTCTTGCTAAATTAGGAAAATTAGGAGCTGTTTGTGAAATACAATAGAAAGCTATACATTGAAAAGTAATCTTTTGAGTAGTACGTTGAAGACCGACCAGCCTTCTAGCGCACGATTCCTGAGCAAAGTATTTCGAGACTACCCTCTTCATAAAATTAAATAAAGAAGAAACCTGCTTGTTGTGGTTTATTAAGAAATCCTTCCACAACGTCTTGCAGTAACTTGAAAGTTACGAAAAAACAAAGTTGTGGTAGGAAGGATAACCCAGGTACAATGGATTCCACTCCCTCCTCACCCCCAGACTCCAGAAAAAGCCCCCACCACCACCACTAAATTGAAACCGACTCACCAAGTTAAAAAGAATTCGAACCCCCCCCACAAAAACCAAAAAAACCAAACCAACAACAAAAACCCCCCAAAACCCAAACAAAAACCCAAGGGAATATCTACGTAACCTAATCAAACGAATGTAGTGTATAAAATGGCGAAGAGTAAGGAGAAACATTTTATTGAATATCACAAATTGAATACCGAAACTGAAATTTAGCGATTAATAAATATGAAGTTTCACAGCGGAGGATGATTATTAAATAAAGATTCTATAAATTTAAATAGATCCTACGTTATCAAATGTTATCACTCGTTATCAAATAGCAGATTTTTTCAAAGCGACCAGAGTTCCTGCTCTCCCAAGTTACGTACTATTGTACAAGATATTGGACTAACTGTGATCTAGGAAACAACTTATCAACAGTTTAGGAATTGATTTTGTTGAATTTTTTTTTGTGAGTTCAGTTTCTATCGGGCCTCGTTTTCATGTACAAATGTACTTCTAAGTGGAGAATGGCACCAAGAGGTGAGGGGGAGGAACTGAAAAGACAAGGGCGTGGGAGAGATGATAATGCTAATACAAATTGTGCTTAGTAACTTAGGCCAAAGATGATGATGATGATGATGATGATGATGATGATGATGATGATGATGATGATGATGTTTAAAATACTACTACTACTACTACTTATAATAATGATCATAATGATAATAATGGTTGTAATGAGGACGGTGAGAATGATATTATGGCCCCACGAAATATTATTACATTGTCAATGATGATATCTCTTTTCCTACTATCTCAGTCTGGACTTAGGGCGCACTCCAGCCGTTATTCTCAACGGCTACAGAGTGATCAAAGAGGCACTGGTGAAAAATGGAGACGCTTTTTCAGATCGAAGCGCGGAGCAACTGGACACGGTAACTTTTTGTTCAATTCTTTTACCCTGAATGATCCTTCGTTTTTCTGTTTGTAATTCCCATTCAACTGACAACGATTTTTACTAAGCCTTTAACTTTAATAGCATCCACTACCTCTACCCCATCCGATCAGCCTACGCCCACAAACACGCACATTCACATATTATATATATATATATATATATGTATATATATACGTGCACACACATGCATGTGCACACATACATACAAGCACATACACACACACACACACACACACACACACACACACACACACACACACACACACACACACACACACACACACACACACACACATACATACATATATATATGCATACACATACGTGCTCGCGTATCTGGCTTGTGACATGCACTCTCACAAACATAGGGTGCGCCGACTGACACTTACGCAATGACACACTTTCATATAAATGGACTTTTATAGCGAGCAGGTTTATTACTGATTGAGAGAGAAAGAGAGTGAGTGAGAGAGAGAGAGAGAGAGAGAGAGAGAGAGAGAGAGAGAGAGAGAGAGAGAGAGAGAGAGAGAGAGAGAGAGAGAGAGAGAGGAGGGGGTGGAGAGAGAGAAGGAGATAAGGAAAATAAGGCGATTCGTACTAAAGCACTTCAGACTTTTCAGAAAATGTACCTATGACGTATTGGGCATAACAGAGATTTTTTTCCCTCTCTGGGTTCATATGATTATTTCCTAGCTAATGGTTTTGTCAGTGTTCTGTTACTGATTCGGGAAACTATTGCTAATCTTTCTTCAGGTCTTCGCATCTCCAGGCAAAGGGCTTTTGTTTTCTTCTGGTCCGAACTGGATTGAGCAGAGAAGCGTGTGCTGCTCTATCCTCCGGGCCTTCGGCACTGGCAGGAACATTCTAGGAGAACTTATCGAGAAAGAGGCTGTTGTCTATGCCAGTATGCTTGAGAGTCTCAAGGGGAAGCCATCTGATGTGAGGGTTATGACAAGTGTCAGCGTTGCTAATGTGCTGAGCCAAAGTCTGATTGGTCAGAGGTTCGAACCTGACGATCCTAAACTCCAGAAGCTTTTCACTTTGATGAATGAAGTAGTTGGTAAGTTAGAAGGCGCATCTTTGGTCCACTTTTTCCCGTTCCTGAAATACGCTCCAGGGGATCCTTTTGGAGCCAAAGCTCTGGAGGCAAAGGCTAAAGAGATTAAAGACATCTTCTCTAGTTTTGTGCAACAACATGATGAGGATAAAAGCAAGGACTCTAATGATGCCAGCATCGACAATGTCGTGGCCGCGTACAACTATGAGAAGAAGAGGAAGCTGGAGGCTGGAGGCATGACAATGCTGGACGACGAGAACCTGGTCAAGACCCTGCTGGACATGTTTATGATCGGATTTGACACTGTGAACACAACCATTGCGTGGTGTCTACTCTACATCCTGCACCATCCCGATGTTCAGGAGAAGATATTCCGCGAGATCGAGGCTGAAGTCGGCCCCCACAGACTGCCCAGCCTGCACGACAAGAACAGCCTCCCCTACCTGTCTGCCGTGATCATGGAAACACAGAGGCTCGGGAGTGTACTGCCTTTGAACATCCCGCGTAAATGCAACACTGAAACAGAAGTTTTGGGATACAAGATCCCTAAGGGGGCAACCGTGATCCCCAACCTCGACTCCGTTCTGAGTGACCCTGAGGTCTGGGGTGACGACGCCAATTTATTCCGACCTGAGAGATTCATCGACGCCTCTGGGAAGCTGGTCCAAAAAGAAGAGTTGATCCCTTACTCAATGGGGCGCAGGGGATGCCCTGGTGAGGCGTTCGCCAACATGCAGCTTTTCATTTTCTTAGCTGTGTTGTTTCAGCGGTTCAGGTTCTTGCCAGCCGACGCAAAAAACCTGCCCACTTTGAAGGGATTCTTGGGCACTTCTAACGCGCCTTCTCCGTATGACGTTAGAGTCATCAGCCGCGCTTGAATAATTAATTATTTAATAGCTTACGAGAAGTCCAACCACAAACAGCCTAACAGTATACCTAATGACGTCGAACAAATTCTACTCCCAAAATAAATACACTTGTCCTGGCGTTCAAATTAACAAAGTGCGAGAACAAACGGTGATACGTTTTAAAATATAAAGCCGCACTTCTCAAAATACGCTACACTCCCATCTATGTTCTTTATAATGTTAAGCTTGAAGCAGAGCTTACTATTTGCTTCTAGATTTGGCATTGGAGTCAACGGCCAATCCACTTGCATCCTGCATTGATCACCAATATGTTGGTCTCGGCATTGGTCACATTCTGCTGTATTTCAGTGCCAATAGAATATCGATACACCCCCCCAAAAAAAAATTATTAAAAAAAAAATCTTTGCTTCTACATCAAAATAATAATAATAATAATTATTATTATTATTATTATTATAATAATAATAATAATAATAATAATAATAATAATAATAATAATAATAATAATAATAATAATAATAATAATAATAATATTAAATAACATGTATTATCGTGCTCAACCCCAATGAAAGAACACATGCAGCTAATCAGATGATTTATCTCAGCCGACGTTGACAAATTTAAATCAAACTAGGTGCAAAGATTATAAACTTTTCTTGAAAAAGCTATTTCCGCATCACCAATTTTCATCTGATTGTTGTTAACCTCGTTAATACACTGTGTACCGCCTTCCAGAATGACTTCTGCTTATCATCATTCAACATCAATTTTTGTTTTTGTTCATCCTTCTTTTCACCGAGATAATACAATTTTCAGTACGATGGACAAGTTTATCTAAGTTGGTAGACATTGTTGAACCATGAATTTGGGAATCGTCAACATGGAACGGGTACTTTAAGTCATACCTATTTCCTTGACAAGTGGCTGAGCATAAATGGTGAACAAAACTGGTCCGAGGAACCCTGAGGAACCCCATACATAAAAACATGATCTGATGACGTGTGCCCTTTAATGACAAAAGACTTGTATCGATTTGATAGGTAGTTCCAGTTAGTTTAAAAGACACTTCCTATCGCTTCAATAAAATAATTATGAAGGTCATTTGTATCAAAAGCTGCCGATGGATCTGAGAGGCTCACCAAAACAATTCTACCTGAATCAGTCATCCAGCATGTCATTCATGACTTTCAGAGTGCTGTTTCTGTGCTGTGGTTGTCTCGGTAGGCAGACTGGAATAGCCTTAACGGGCTGTTCACTTATAAGGTGACGAACCTGCTCGAGGACAACCTTTGCAAGGAAAGACTCCTTGTAAACTAAACAAAAATACCTGGACTTCACACTGTTGACCTACTTTCGTTTGAAGACCTCGGATAAAACGTTCAGAGCAACAAAGAGCACATACTCGTTTACAACAATAAGAAACAGCTTCAGTACCGGCAGACCATGCTGAGCTATGCTTGCATTTACACAATCTAATGGAGAGTTACCGTGTTCACATTTTCATTCTTCTAAAAGTTCAATAAAACTTTAGAATACACAAGGTTTGTTTTCTTTATTCACGTGTTGTTTGTGGTTTTCCTGTAGCTTATATTCCTTTTTGTCTGGCCTATTGGAACACCGATTCTGAAATTCTTTGTCCATTTGTTCTGAACGTAGGTCCCGGTCACCTAGGCTTAGTCTTCGGGATTTTATGAGTCCCGTCTTTTATATTCTATGTTTTCGTTGAGGGTTCCGGGGTTCGAGCCGCGGGCCAGACGTTGTGACCTAGGGAAAGGGGTTTAACACGAATTCTCCTCTCTTCATCTAGGTGGGAATGGGTACCCGACCGTAGACAGCAAAAGATCTTGTCAGTGTGTTAGTGTTTTAGCGCCTGTCAATGACCCTTTACAAAGTATGCTTCCCAGGAAGTTGAGGTTGTTTCAGAATGCTCTCAGGTCTGCTGGGCTAATAGTATAGATTGTGAAGCGCGTAGAGCTTGCTTGTTGAGCGGGGATTTGTGCTATACAAATGCTACTTATTATTATTTATATGCACCTTAAAGAACACATTTATATAAAATCGACATGCCGAAACAAAACAAAACAAAAACAAACAAACAAACTAACTAACAAACTAACAAACTAACTAACAAACTAACAAACTAACTAACTAACTAACTAACTAACTAACTAACTAACTAACTAACTAACTAACTAATAAACAAACAAAAAACTAAAAAAAACCCCAACAAACTCAGAGAAGGTGATAGATGCTTAAATTGTATGCTTCATGAGTTAACAATGTTTCTCCTGACAAGCCTGAATTCGCCACTGAAGATTTTGTATAGCCCTAATGCGTGTTTCTTGTTCGATACCTTCTACATCCTATTCAAAATTGACTTTCAACGGTTCGATTGTTTGTAGGTTGGTTCTGTAGACTGTCCAAAAAAAATAAAAATAAATAAATACAGAAATAAAAGTAAAAAATAACACACAAACTAACTAACCAAAGGGAATAACTAAGGCGGTAAGGTCAAGGAAATGCGGTGACCTTTCATTTGTAAGCCTCGGTTTTAAAGTCCTTCCGCAAACTTTTCTTACAACCATGCAAGTGCGCTCTTGACCAGTAAGGTGTGGCCTCATCCCACTGGAACCAGGCCTCCTCAACATCATAACACCCTCTCTTCCCTAAATTTTTCCTAAACCTTCTCAGCACGGTTTATATTAGTATTTCCATCTGATGGTCATGGTTTTATCGTCCTCGTTCTGAAACCAGAATGGGCCGATCGCGACCCAGTGGCTGAATGCTTTTCTGGAGTAAATGTTTGCCTTTTACTTAACATTGGATGACATTTTTAAAAGGACAATACCCCCCCCCCTTCCCAATAAAAAACATTAAAAAACCTAAATAAAACAAATAACGATAAATATACAAAAAATATATTACATTTAATTTAATTTTAAAAATTATTCTAATTTTTAAAAAAATCATTTAAAAAAACGAACCATAAAAGCCTTGGTATTTCTCGAGGACATCGGTTGATTTTCTTCAGATTGTCAAATTTGATATCTCCTTGGTTGAATTTTATTTGTTCGAAGTATTGTTGAAATCGGTGCAAATATTATGACTGCGTTATTGGCCGTTAAATAGGTCTTCTTGTTTTAGGCACCCTGTACAGCATCCCCAGAAGCTTCGACAGATCCAAGCAGTATCAATGCGGGTGACAGCTGTAGCAATGAGACTAAGGAAAAAAACCCCGTCCAGAACATACAAACAAATTAGATTTTACATAAACATATAATTATATTTTAGAAAATCCACACTGTAATGAAATCCTGTTGGAGAAAATTTGGTTAGAAGGGAGATCAGGGTGACGGGTGTACATAGCGATATTATTTTCGCCAGTTATGTCCCTTAGTCCGTTTAAATTTCTCAACACAATATAATTTATACGTCTGACGTGCGTCGGTTACCCTCAATTGAAAACGCATGTTAATAAGATACATGTAGCTGGGATAACCTTGTATGCATGCAGTAATGTCCTCTTTTATCTTTCACTCCGTAGTGTTCCCCCACCAAAAGATTTAAAAAATCTGAATGTAGCAAACGAAAAAGCGAACAAATCAACTACAAAAAAGGACAAAATATATAAAGTACATTTCTATTTTTCTATATTCTCTCTCTCTCTCTCTCTCTCTTTCTCTCTCTCTCTCTCTCTC